TATCTACCCATCAATCCTGGGCATTTACAGGGTGTCACACCCCATGGAGATCTAGGCATTATCTCTAGTTTTCTTAATAATCAACTATAATTTTTAAATATACACAAATACACAGAACAGCCAATTCCTCTCTGCCTCAGTGGAGAGCTCATGATTTCTCATTTCCCTTTGGAAAGGTCCCTTAATTACTGTTTACTCCTAAAACTGGATAAAGAGCACAGGAGTGCAGATGGGGTTGTCTCCAGCCTGTTTACATTCAGATGCCGCTTCTCCCCTAGAGGCTGAGTGAACCCCACTGGGATTGCTCAGAGCTATATTATAAACAATGCACAACCCTGTGTCGGCTCTCGGCATGGGATGCTGCTGCAGATGCTGGGGTGAGAGAGGTGTGGAACACGGATACCTGAGGAGGATTCCCAGGGAAGACACTTCCATCTCAGAATTCACAGGTACCCATCTCTTGTTGAGGAACTCACCTGCTCGACAAACCCAGTGCAAGGTGAGCATGATAGGATAGAGAATAGGTTTGTGGTCCTTTCTGCTCTGCACAGCCATTAAACATCCCAGTGCCCTTGCCATACGGGATGAGTTTTATCCAGTATCACTGGCAAAAATCTTACTCTTTTCTATGTACCGTCCTGGCTCATGGCATCCAACCCCAAGGTGGCTGCATTTCAGTGGCACAGGGGATCCTTCAGGTGTTAGTAGATGTACAATACAAGGCCAAATTCTGAGGCCGAGGCCTGTACTTTGCTCAGGCCACATTGAGGCAAAACTCCCCTTGGAGTGAGATCTGAGTAAAGACCTCAGGAGCCAGCTGTGTGTTAATGCACAGAGATTCTCACCTCCTCATCTCGCATCTTAAAACTCTGGGGCTGTTATCTGATGTTTATCTACTGGCTCTGTTAATGCAGTCCAAAACTGCATTTTCTTTTTCAGCAATAGCAAAAATTTCCACATCCCTAACAGATGTAGCTATATCAACCTATATCCTGTGTAGACAGCATGTGGTCAGTGGAGGAATTCTTTGATTGACCTCATTAGCAGCTCTCAGGGAGCTGTAAAAAGAACAGGAGTACTTGTGGCACCTTAGAGACTAACAGATTTATTAGAGCATAAGCTTTCGTGAACTACAGCCCACTTCTTCAGATGCATATAGAATGGAACATACATTGAGGATATATATATACACACATACAGAGAGCATAAACAGGTGGGAGTTGTCTTACCAACTCTCAGAGGCCAATTAAGTAAGAGAAAAAAAGCTTTTGAAGTGAAAATCAAGATAGCCCAGTACAGACAGTTTGATAAGAAGTGTGAGAATACTTACAAGGGGAGATAGATTCAATGTTTGTAATGTCTCAGCCATTCCCAGTCCTTATTCAGTCCTGAGTTGATTGTGTCTAGTTTGCATATCAATTCCAGCTCAGCAGTCTCTCGTTGGAGTCTGGTTTTGAAGTTTTTCTGTTGTAATATAGCCACCCGCAGGTCGTTCATTGAATGACCAGACAGGTTAAAGTGTCTCCCACTGGTTTTTGAGTATTATGATTCCTGATGTCAGATTTGTGTCCATTAATTCTTTTGCGTAGAAACTGTGCGGTTTGGACAATGTAAATGGCAGTGGGGCCATGCTGGCACATGATGGCATATATCACATTGGTAGATGTGCAGGTGAACGAGCCCCTGATGGTATGGCTGGTGTGATTAGGGCCTATGCTGATGGCACTTGGATAGATATGTGGGCAGAGGTGGGA